CAAAGAGACACACACGCACGCGCGCACACACACACAGAGACAGCGATACGGAGAGAGAGAGAGAGAGAGAGAGAGAGAGAGGTGCGTGTGGATCTTAACCTCGGTCTCCTTCTGTCTGTGTCTGTGTCTGTGGGTGTAGGGTGCGACGGCCAACTCTGGCCACTACTACACGATTGGGAGTCGTTCAGAGGTGGGGAACAAGAAGGACAAGCGGCGCAAGTGGTACTGTTTCGACGACTCCCAAGTGACGCCCGTCGACGAGACCATGATCGACGACATCGCATCCTCCACCAAGAGAGACGACAGGCCTTACGTGCTCTTCTATAGGTGAGATGCCACCCTTCCCCCCCCGCCATACGCAACACGTGGGAATGTGTGTGTGTGTAGGTGCACGATGGCTCCGTTGTCTCCCGTGCCCGCGGTCCCCAAGAGCCTCCACAAGAAGGCCAGCAAGATCGAGAAGGCCGCGATGGAGGACATGAGCGACTGACTGACCGACTCATGGCGTTGTCGTGCGTTGCGTTGCGTTGCTTTGGCTGACGGGCAGTGGGTGGATGGGTGGTCTGACGAATGAAGATGGATCGGTGGAGATATAGAGACGGGGAGGCGTCGCGGATAAATGAGTGGATGAATGAATGAATAAAGTCATTCACGGTTTCTTTGTCGTGTCAAGGGATGGAGGGAGGGGGAGGGGGAGGGAGGGAGGGGGGTGCTGTGGTGTGTGGTGTACTGTTTGTTATTGGGCTGCCCATTTGCTCTCTCGTCCCTTCCCACAGTGAGTGTTTTTCCACAGCTGGCTGACATGTCTGTATGAGAAGGAAGGAAGAGTGCATTCGGTTTTTCAGGTGTCAAAGGTGAGGGAGGCTGCGCTGCTGCATTGAGGGAGAATAGACCGATGGATGGATGGATGGACGGTGGGTCTACATGTGTGTGGTGGGGGCGGGTGGGTCAGTAATTCAAATCACGTCTTCAAGTTGCACTGTGGAAGGGTGGCACATACGGCATTGACCTCGTCAGCACTCATACACCATTCAATCTCCAGCCAGACGAGTGCTTACTTGTCAATCAAACACAGAGAGAGGCCACGCACTCCGAATCGACCCATCAAACCACCACCATAAACCAAAACACCATATCATCTACCAGTGGACGTGCCCCTCATATGCGTACCATCTTCACTCGCCATCCCCATCCTACGGGTCTTATACCTGCCCGTCGAACACGAATGGCGCCACTCGCCCCAGCGCCACTCGAGCCAGCTGAGTGGTCACGGCGAAGCGACACTTGAAGGGCGCACCCTCACTCATACCAGCCGCAGGTGCCTCGGAGGTCCGAACACTAACCCACACTGCAGACAGACGACAACAACACATGACATTTGATCAGTAGAGCTGCCTGTCTCTCGGCCTGACCGGTGCCGTCCCCACAATCCAAAATGACAATCCATGCAACGAAGTCGTGGCTGCCGTTGGTCAGCACCAGCCATCGCACACCACCGTCCCAGCCGTCTCGGCTGAGTGTTGTGGTGCATTCGGCCACTGGTGTGTGGGGCGACTGGTTGAGGAGGCCATCCAGACGGCCGCCACCAACACGCCTGAACCAACCAGACACACACACAATCAAACACGCACCCCTCTCGCCACTGGTGTCATTGATGTGTCACCTGTTGAGTGCTATCGATGTGCTACTGATCTGGTGAGTCCAGTAGAAGTGGTTGACGATCGTGCGCTTCGCAAAGGACGACACCGACGCATCAATGGTCGGGATGATCGACGCCCATCCGCCGCTAATGCTACGGTAGTTGATCCAGCTCCGCACTGGTGGGTCATGCTGTAGTCGGTGCTGCTGATACAGATGGTGGGCGGCGACGGGCGGGTTGACGTCCACCTGGTAGCCGGGCTCGTCCTTGATGGCCCGCACCTCACCATTGGCATGGCGGAAAATCTGCAGGCAGCTGTCACCGAAGTCGATGTGGCGGCCGACCACCATCAGCTGCGCCAACACACGGGGAAACGATCCATATGCCTACACCACACCACACACACACGGACAGACAGAGAGAGGAATGGACAGACAGACAGCCACAGAGAGAGAGAGAGAGGAATGAGGCCTCTCTGTTATCTCTCCCCGCCCCTCTGTGTGTGTGCCTTACCGTCTTGTTTGCGTGTGTGTTGATGTCATCTGCCGTGAGGTTGAGGGGCAGTGTGCAGCAGCCACACTCACTGGCCCACTGCAGCACCTCAGCCACCTCGTCCCACTTCTGCTCTTCCACCAGCCACACGGCCGCCAGCAGCTCACGCGCTTCAGACACCGTCTGGGCGTCGAAGGTCAGCACGGCAGCCAGCCGCGTGCCGTCAGCGAGGCGAATGCGATGCAGCGAGCGGTCGAGGCGATTGCGGAGGATCTGGGCAGGGAAGTCGACCTTGCTGAAGAACAGGGCCGACCTCCTGATGTGGCCGAGGTCCTTGACGTTGTGCAGCTCATCGCGCTCGTCCCGATAGACGACGTCGAGCACCTGGCCGTTGATGGCGGGCGATGCCTCGTCGGTGCTCTTGCTGTTGACCGCACCCATCGCACTCGCAAAGGCTACTTTCTACGCCATGGAATCGCCGTTATTGAAGCTCGCAATGACTCACGAATGATCGAATTCATTGCTCCCCGATGGCGAGAAGAGAGAGCTTGAAGTGCGTGTGAGTGTTGCGAATGCCTGCCAGTGCCATGACGTGGGATCTGGTTGGCGATTGCTTTCATTTCACCAATTTCTGTGTGATGCATTGATTGATCAACACGCGCATCATTCATCAGACGGACGCGAGAGCGGTGCAATGAAATGCATTCACACACACACACAGACACACAGACACCATGTCTGTCTGTCTGTCTGTCTGTCTGTCTGTCAGGACGTCCGCCCACCCAGCTAGGCCAATACAAATCGACAGCACACAGGCAGAGATAGAGAGAGAGAGAGAGAGAGAGCGACCCACACACCCACCGGAGGCATTGACACACACACAGCCATTCGTGCGTCGACATCAGCAGTGATCTACACCGGTCAGCAGGCTACAGACAGAGAGGACGGCAGACAGCACTCCACCACCCTCCTGAGGCCACAACACACACACACACACACACACACAGACAGAGAGGGAGGCATGGCACCAGCCGATCACATTGCAGTGTGTCTGTGGCGCACCAGTGGGTATTGAGATCGGTCTCTGTGTGTGTCGTCAGGGCGATGCATTGCCGTCACCGCCGCCGTCTTGGTTGTCCTCCTCGGCTGGTGCATCCTCTCCTGCCACACCCACACACACCCACACACACACGCATAGCTGTGTGATGGCGACGGGCATTAGGCCGTGTGGTGTGGTGTGTGTGCGTTCCTTCCTTCCTTCATGTGCACCTCCGCTGTCGACGTCCATATCGTCACAGCCACCGCCATGGTGGCCGTCTGCACCACACACAAAGGGCCCGTCACACACCCACGTCTCTCCTTGCCGCCTCCCTCTGTCTGTCGTACCATCGTCAGTGTCGTCATCATAGCTGTCATTGTCTACTCGTCCGTCGAAGACATATGGCGCCCCTGCAGCCACCGCACACATACATGTGTTTGACGCGAAGTGCCGTGAGTCATCTTCTTCGTGTGCACCTCCGCTGCCGTCGTCCATCCCGTCACTCTCATTGCCACCATTGCCGTCTGCACCACACACATAGAGAAGGCCCATTAGCCATCGCTTCACGACTGTGTGCGCCCCTCCCTCTGTCTGTGAGTACCGCCACCACTATCGCTGTCGTCGTCATGGTTGTCGCCGTCACCCTCGTTGTTGTCCTCTTCGGCTGATGCGGATTGACATCAGGGCATCTGTGAAGTGTGCTGTGTGTCCCTCCCCCTCGTGTGCACCTCCGCTGCCCTCTCCGTTGCTGTCGTCATCCATATCATCCCAGCCGCCGCCATGGCCGTCGGAATCTACACCACACACAAAGACAGAGAGAGATGAAATGCCATCCATCCATCCATCCTGGCCACCATGTGTGTGTCCCCTCCCCCTGACCGCACCGCCGTCATCGTCGCTGTCATCGTCTACTTGGCCGTCGAAGACGTACGGCGCCACTCGCCCCAGCGCCACACGGCCAGCTGAGTTGTCACCGGATAGCGGTCCTTGAAGGGCGCATCCTTACTCGCACGAGCCGCAGGCGCCTCGGTCGTTACGACACACACATTCACTGCAGACAGACAATGACAGAGAGAACGATACATGACATTTGGTCGGCCAGCAGAGCTGCCTGTCTGTCGGCCTGACCGGTGCCGTCCGCCAAATCCAAAATGAAAATCCATGCGACGAAGTCGTGGCTGCTGTCGGTCAGCACCAGAAACCGCACACCACCGTCACAGCTGAATGTGGTAGTGCATCCGGCCACCGGTGTGTGGGGCGACTGAGTGAGGAGGCCATCCAGACGGCCGCCACCAACATACCTGAACCAACCACACACACACACACACAATCAAACACAATCAAACACGCACCCCTTTGCCCACTCGTGTCATTGGTGTGCTACCTGTTAAGCACATTCACTGTGTCATTGGTCTGGTGAGTCCCATAGAAGTGGCCGAGGATCATGTGCTTGGCGAATAACGATACTGACGCGTCGGTGGTCTGGAGACCGCTCGACCCCCATCTGCCAAAAACGTCAGAGTAGAAGATGCCGCTCCGCACTGGTGGGTCATGCTGTAGTCGATGCCGCTGATACAGATGGCCGGCAGGGAGGGGCGGCTTGACCTCCAGCCGGAAGCCGGGCTCGTCCCTGATGGCCCGCACCTCACCATTGGCATGGCGGAAGATCTGCAGGCGGCTGCCGTCACCAAAGTCGATGTAGCGGCCGACCACCATGAGCTGCGCCAACACACGAGCTACCGATTCATACGCCTACACCACACCACGCCACACACACACACACACACACACACAGAGAGAGAGAGAGAGAGAGGATGAGGCCTCTCTGCTCCCTCCCACCCGCTCTGTGTGTGTGTGCCTTACCGTCTTGTTGGCGTGTGTTTTGATGTCATCGGCCGTGAGGTTGATGGGCAGTATGCAGCAGCCGCACTGGCTGGCCCACTGCAGCACCTCCCGCGTCTCATCCCACCGCCCGCCCTCCTCGGCTATCCACACGGCCGCCATGAGCTCACCCATCCCCAGCGATGGGTCGAACTGCACCAGCTGCAGCTGTGGGGTGTTGATGCCATCGCCGTCACGGCTCAGTGAGTTGTTCAGTCGGCTGCGCAGCTGGTCTGATGAGAAGGCGTCTCTGATGTCTCGTGAGGCTGCCCTCAGCTGCAGTGTGGTGCTGATGTCGGGGGTGCGGCAGCGGTCTTCGGCAAACAGATGGGCGAGGGGGTGCTCCTGGCGGCCCTCCTGCAGATCGCACGCACACGTAACAATGCAGATCGATACACTCAGAAGGCACATCTGGTGCATGGCGGTCGGTTTGTGTCAGACCCACCTGACAATGCGGCTGCTGCTCTTGCTGTGGGTGGCTGCGGGTCGATGCGACGCCGTGGCGGTCGGGCGAGGCGAACAGCTCGTCGACTGCATCGGTCACGATCTGCACACACCACACAGACGGCACACACCGGCATCAACACGGTACTGTGTTGGCGATTCTACTGGTCTTCTGACATGCTCACCCCTTTGGTGGTCTGTGTGTCGCCCCACATGAGCCGCTGCATCCTCAACGTCGTCATGCTCGACTCCAGCGCCGACTCGCTAACCGAACTCTCAGCCACAAGGGCCGCACTCTGACGATGAACAATCGGACACACAAACCCACACAGGCCATAGAAAGGCCAGGACACGTGTCGCTTCGGCTCACCCAAATGCCGCCCGCTATCTGCTTCTGGTTGGTCTTGCGTATGATGTAGACGGCCGTGGCGGCCAGCAGGTGGACATAGCACGCGGCCAAGTCGATTTCACACATCGACAAGAACTGCACAGACAGACAGACAGACAGGCAGGGATAAGCCATTCGATGGCTGGAGGTGTCTGTCTGTATGTGGCTGGCGGACAGACTGACCATGAGGTATTTGGCCAATGAGAACAGGCGGCCGTGGGTGTCCATGCCGGCCGCAGTGAACAGCTTATCCAGACACCCAATGCCGCACTCAGAACAATCAGACCTCACAGCCAGCAGCCGCACCGCCCGCATGACGGTCGCGTCGCGGCAGCCCATCGACGCTGCTCTCTTGACCATCCCGTCCACCAACACGGCTGCAACACATCACAGACATCACACCACCTCTCTGAGGGCATCTGTGGTGTGCTGTTGTGTGTGCAAGCCGGGCGTACCTCTCTGCTGCGGCCACGTCATGCTACCGACCTGTTTGTCAGACAAACCGAACACAGAGCATCGCTTGATTGATCAGTCATCATCCCCTCTCCTATTGTGTCCTGCTCGCCTCACCGTCACAGCCGCCATGGTGCCCTGCGATGGGCCTCAGCGATGAGTTGAAACCATCAGTTTGTGTCTGATGGGGCTCCAGCTGCCCTATGGAAGGCATCACAAGCGCTGGAAGCGACGAAAAGGGCCTAGGATGGATGCGAGCTTGAAAGGGGAGGAACTTTGGATGCCGGCGATGAAGATGGCCTTTTCGTGAGCCGCCAGACTTCTGCACAGGCGTGTTGTATTCTCTTTTGGCGCTGAGTGCCTCGCCTGCCGTCGGGCTGCGTCCATCTTGCGGGCTGCGGAGGAGATCTCTGTCGGTGAGAGTGAGCAGCCGTGGGCGAGGGTCCAGAGGGAATCCACGGGCAGCCCTGATCTATCTCATTTCGTGCTGTCATTTCTTCTCCAGGTGTGAGCTGTGATATCTGCACCGGAGAGCAGGGCGGCAGCGGGACCATTCGGCATTAAACAGCGGGCCGCTGAGCACCCGACCAGGTCAGGAGGACGAAAAGAGCAGCCATGAAGGAATTCTACACTGTGTGTGTTAGTCTTTGCATCTCTCAGGCAATGGAGTCGACGGACAGCGCAGCCGGCCATCCCTCACCCCAAGCAGTGCTGACCAAGACGAGGAAGCTCTACAATGCCGTCCAAACCAAGGAGGCCTACGACCAGGCCATCCCGCAGCGAGGGCTGGAGGCGGTCGAGGCCGACATCACCGCCGTCATGGCCGACCTCTGCCACCTGATAGCGTCGGCCAGTGATCCGCAGGTTCGGGCTGAGGGCTGAATCTGCTGCTGTCCATCCAGCACCTGGAGGGCGCCATGAAGCAGAAGGCTGTCGATATCGGCCTGGTTCCTGTCTTGGTCGAGCAGCTGAATGGGTGCGAGGAGGTGCAGAAACCGGCAGCATTCGCTCTCGGCGTGCTGGCGCTGGATCATGGCGATGAGGTGGTGGTGGATGCCGGTGCCGTCCCGCCTCTCGTGCAGCTCGTGTCGTCACCCAATGACGATGTGCGTGCAACGGCCATTTTTGCGCTGTGCATGATCACGAAGGGATCGGCGACCCATCGCGATGCCGTGGTGGCCGCCGGCATCCTGCAGCCGCTGCTTAAGGCGATGCGGGAGAGCACCAACGCTGACGTGCTGGCCTTGGGGGCCGACTTGCTGTGCGATGTGTGGAGTGTCCAGCCCCTCCCTCCACTGGGCAAGCTAGCGCCCTTCCTGCCGGTCCTGGTCAGCCTGATCGCCGCACCTCAGCAGGATGACCGTGTGCTAAGGGGCGCACGAGCGGCATTGGCGTCTGTTGGGCTACTGTGTCACGAGGGTCAAGGTCAGTCAAAAAACACGAGGGAGGGCACGAGCCGCAACCATCGGCTGCATGGCTCACTGTATCGATGCTCAGGTACCAATGCCGACCGTGACGCGTTGGTCGAGTGTGGCGCCGTGGGATCGCTCAAGCCATTGTTGGAGATGGGGGAGCCGGTGATGGAAGCCGTCGCATGCATAACGATGGTGTTCGTGACTCGAGGTAAGGCCACCCCGCCACGTACAGGGTGCTGTGCTGTTTGGTGTGGATCAATTGGATGCAGGTAGCACTGCCCACGTCCAGGCTGTCATCGATGCTGACCTGGTGCCTCTGCTGGTCGACCTGGCGGCCGGCGAGGAGACCGATCCCACCCTGAAGGAGATAGCAGCAGGGGCCGTCGGAAACGTAGCCCAAGGGTCGCAGCATCAGGTGCGGGTGTAGGCCACACGCGAAACGTTTGCTGAGATGTCATGGCTGTCTGGGTGTGTGTGTCCATGTGTTTCTTCAGGTTGAGTATGTGGTCGAGTGTGGCGGCGTCCAGCCCCTCTGCGACGCACTCGATGGTGTCCACAATGGCGTTCGAGACCATACAAGGCACTCGACAACATACTACGGTAGCAGGCGAAGGCCAGCCAAGCGCACACAATTGCGTTCACCTATCACGTGCTGTGTTGTGTTGTGTCCCTGTGTGCAGTGCGGGTGCTCAGAAGCAGGCCAACGAGGGCCTCCCCGACAACCCCTACTCCACTCTAGTAGAACAGGTGAGGGAAGAAGAGAGACAATAGAGGACTACAGCCGTGTGAATTGTGGACACCATTCACACGGTTGTCCTCTATTCCGTTTCACGCAGGCCGGCGGTGTGGACAAGATGACCGAGCTGCAGTCGCACAATGACATCCGCATCGCATCTCGGGTGACCGACCCGCAAGGCACTCACTTTTGTCGGCCAAGGGGCGTATGGAGTGCTGTTCGTTCATTCAGGCAATTGTGTTTCTCATCAGCCATTTCCCGACTCGCCTCGACGAGCAGCGTCTGCTGGCCCTGTATCAGCTGCATGTGGTGCAGGCCGCCGAGGTTGAGACGAATGTCGGGCCGGATGATGATATCTGCAGCAGTTGTGACAGTGATGGCGAGGGCGAGGGTGAGGTGAACGGCCAGCTGGAGGGCGACAGTGGGGAGGAGGGGGCGGAGGGGTAGACAGACACACACAGTTATGAGAGGCTGCATGTAAGCCTTTATGACCGCTTTTCACCTGTAATGTTGAGTTCCCTCAGACGAGGTGGCCTGAATGTTGCCAGGAAGGGTGGCATCGATGGCAGGCAGGCAGGCAGGCTTGTCTGTGCGTCGGGAGGCCAGGAGAGAGCGATCGTTGTTCGGGTGCAGGCCATGCGTGTGAGCGATGAGGTTGCGTGAGTTGTGCTCACCTTCGTGTCGTCTTACTTTGGACATTCTCTGGTTTTATCATTAAGATGCTTGGGGTCCGTCCCTGTCCGTTTATCGACACCCTCAGTATCTAGCTGATCGCTTCCTTTCTCCTTTTCCCTCAGGCGAGGTGGCTGGCCTGCTGGCCTGCTGCAATAGAGTAGCCTTCTGGGTGGCTTAGCGGTGGGGGGGTGATTCAGTCGACTTTCGGACCGACACACTTGAAGCTTACGTGTCTCCACACACACATACACACACATGCATCGACACAGCTGTGTGTGACGTCCATAAGTGCACTCACTGCTGGCTATGAACACTCATCAATTAGTTACTGTCTCCGTCTACTAGTGTGTATCGACACCCACACAAGATGCACATTGCCAAACAAACACCGCACACCCTGTGGGAACATCCCACCCGCCCGCCCGCCCGCCCGCCCGCCGGCCCACACTATGGGAGCCAACAAGACGAAAGCACACTACACACCAAACAAGGGCCAGATCAAAACCGCCTAGTGTCTGTCTGTCTGTCTGTTTGGCCTGTCTGGCCTTCCTCAATTGTGCCGTCAGGTCGATATATGGCATTTGGCGTCAGTCAGTTCGTGAGTGAGAAGGTGGGATGATGATGATATGCTCATCGTCGGTTTGTGCCTTGTATGGTTTGTGTTTGTGTTTCATATGCGGTCCTCTCGACGAATTCACAGGGGCCGCTGCCGCTGGGTGCATGCCATGCGGAGAAGCAACATCAACGTATGTGCGTATGTCAATCTGTCCGAGTGGAGCGCTTCATGGAAAAGAGGAAAGGAAACGGTCCATCCATCCATCCATCCAGATAGGTGTGTGTGGTGTCCATGAATAAGTGAATGCAACACATCCATCCATCGGTGTGTCCATGTACAAGGCAACGCTGCAGCCAGGCCATGGACGTGCGCGGCCAACACCACCCACGCCAGAAAGACAGACAGACGACACACACACACATTTATCCATCAATGCGCAGCCGGACAGGTAGCCAGACAGACAGACAGACAGACAGAGAGACAGACAGACGGACGATGGGATCGCACAAATCACACACAGACATTGCAGAAGGACCATTAAAACTCTGTGTGTCCCCCCGTGTGTGAAACTCCCAGTGTCCGTCTGTGTCTGTATCCCGCCCGTCTGAAAGGAATGGTGCGGTGTGTGGGCTGCATGGGATGGCATGAGATGGGAGAAGAGGGACACATCGCACAACACACGACACGCATACACACGACATACTCATATACACACTTCTTTCGTCATGTCGCCTGTCACGCGTACCAGCTTGCTCAGTACTTCGCGTGTAGTTGCCCGTGTTTTTCGACCGTGCTGATCGTGAGGTATGTGCATTCGGGAATGCCATCCGTGGCATCCGGCGGGTCAATCTGCCCCTCCTTCTTGTACTCCGTGCCAACCTACAGGCAGGCAGGCAGGCAGGCAACACCCGTTGACGATTTTCTCTGCATTCATCATCCCTTACAATGAGGTAGCCATTGCCATACTTCATGGCGTTGAATACGCAATATTCGTCGCAGTTTTTCCCGCATATATATTCCGTGGGACACACAACGTCTACGACCTGTGCGGAACCCGCCGCTGGCACACCCTTGGATGTGGCCCCCCCACGCTGCACCCACCCACCACACACATGTACAACACATCCATCCGTCGGCTGCTGTTTCCCAACGAGATGATGCTGCACTCACCAGGTAGCATTTGGTCGGCTGCCTGCAAACACGCGAGATGGACACAGACACACACGAGGAGGGATCTGTCCATCCATCCATCCATTCATTTCCCTCACCCGCCGACGAATTCTCCACCGATGGCGCAGTCCTTCTCCTCGCACGCACCCGCGCCTGCACACACACCCGTTTCCACACACACACATGGGATCTTCCCATCGGATCTCCCACAGGCAGCCAATGGTGTGCCGACTTACCGAGGCCGTGTTTGGTGTGGATCTCTTCGCCCGCCGCCAATGAGGCCGGGCCGCAGAGGGCAATGAGGCCAAACAGCACCACCAACATCGCAGATCTGCCCGCCATCATCGCGGAATATCTCGTTTTCCTCGGCGCGCCCGAAGCTCGCCTGATCTGGCCAGGATCGTCAATTTGCCGCAAACCGAGGAGCCAGAGCAACGTCGTGCTCGGGGCTGCAGGAAGTCATCCGACGTGAGTCTGACAGTAGCTGAATGTTCCATGACTGTGGCTCATGGTGCGGGCAGGCAGTCCTGAGGTCAATCCCGCGGCAAAAGAACTAACTCTTCTAGTGTACATATAGGCTGACGTGCTCACGACGTGGTGTGTGTTCATGCGTCATGTGTGTATCTAGACGTCCGCTTCCTCTCTCTCCTTTCCTCTCCTACGCACCACACCCCCAGACAGACAGACAGACAGACAGACAAGACAGCCACATCGATTAGACGTTGGGTATGTTACATACGCATGGGGCGAGCGTTTCTCTCTCTCTCTCTCAATGACGGTCGCGACACACAATGCCTGAGAAAGGGCTGTACAAGTACATCCATGGTCCAAAACACACCCCATCGAAAGTCCATCGATTGCTCAAAAGTGAATCTGTACGGCGCCGACCGATAGATACGCATTCCATTTAAGCTATCCTATCCTACGCCACCACTAGCTGCGACCACCGAGGCTCTCCCTTTCCCTCCCTCCGACCTCTAGTTCCTCCCCCCCTGACAACAGACGGCCGCCGAGCACTTCACCACCTCACTCACACTCATCGCATAGCCAAAGGGGTGCCCATCGCCCTCACTGTCCTCATCCAACAGCCGCACAACCAGCGATTCGCTGCCTGTGGCGACTGCAGCCATCGAGTCGACGCGAGCCACGCGGCCGTAGAGCAGACCGGGCCGACACACCAACACCTGCACCACACACCACACACGCACAGAGAGAGAGAGAGAGAGATGGCTGACGGCCACGTGGTGTCTCTCTGTCTCTCTGTGGGTCTTTACTGACCGTGTCTCCCTGTTCGTGTGGCGCCAGTGGTGCGAGGGCGGGATTGGCCGACGAGTGTTGGATGGTATATGAGGGGTCCACCATGTGGACGTCGAGCTCACACACGGATGTCGTGTCGCCATCGCGGCACCTGACACGCGACACCGTCGCCTGCACACACAGCACAGGTCGATGGATGGATGGATTTTGTCTATGCCCTCACTCACTGACTGACTGACCGCTTTGCCTCGATGTGGCCCCTGCAGTATCTCCACGCCAGCACCCTGCTGCAGCCACAGACAAGACGGCCTCGCACCAGCTCGAGCAGAGGCAGAGGCAGAGGCAGAGGCCCCACCGCCACTGTCCTGATCAACCCTCTCAGGCACGAGGATGCGCACCGACCGGCCGCCGCCCTCGGTGGCCATCGTCACCCTGCCCCTCGGCAGCACCGGCACGATCCGCATCTCGTCATGGACCCGCTCACGCACCTTCATCACTCGCTCCAGCGCCTCAAGTAGCCCCGACAGAGTGGGCAGCAGAGGGGGGATGACGGGACCGACACACGCTGCCTGGGGCGGTGCGCGGAGAGAGGGCCGCACGTGGAGGGTGAAAGTGAAGCCGGAGGACGATGTGTGTGGGTCACGTGAGGTTTGGCGAGGTGGGCTGGTGAAGGAGGGAGGATGGAGAGCGGCGTGGGGATGGTGGTTGGCCGTCCGCCACTTGATGCCCAGGTCTTTGGGCGTCTTGGTGGGGGTGCGGGTGGTCCGCAGCAGATGCCTGGCGACCTGCCGCAGCTCACTCTCATCCAAATGCTCTGAACAGGCACACAGACACACAGACAACAGACAGGCCATGGATGCATTGCAGTGAGTGTTGCTTCCCCCTCCCCCTCTCTGTGTGTTCTGTTTGCGCACCATTTGGGTCAACATTGGCCGGATCAAAGGGGGCAAAGGGAGCAGCAACGTCCCTACTCGACCGGGCCCCTGACGTCAGCACACACAAGTGCATCAACAGACAGTTTTGAGACCCTCTCACCATTAATTATCCGATTTCTCCTCGGCTGTGGGGGCGGCACGGCGTGGTTGACAAGCCGGTCGGGCTCCTTCCTGTCTCGCTGCGGCCTTTCCACAACCACCCCCCCATTCAGCCAGGCATCCTCTACAGCACGGTCCAGCACGCCCATCGCCCGCTCTTCCCTCCCCTCCTCGCTCAGCTGGCCGGCAGACAGCCGCCGCGACTGCCTTGGCCTTCTGTGGTGGGCACTATGTCCCTCATCGCTCGCCTGCCCCTCGTCTGCCGCTTCGCTCGTGTCGTCACTGGACGAGCCGAAGTCGTCTTCACGCGACGACGCCCGCCAGCGGCGCTTCCTGCCCGCCGGCAACCTGCCCGCCTTGCCGCCGTCTTTCGGCACCCACTGCCTCTCGTCCTCTCTGGCGTCGAAGGCCTTCTTGAGAGCCTTCCGGAGGCCGCGGACGGTGAACGTGGAGGGGGGGAAGACGTGCTGGCCCACGAAGCGATAGTCGCCCGCTGTGGGCATCATGCGAAAGGCGCCCGAGTACCAGTAGATGGCCTTGTTGCCCTTGTGGCCGCGCTGCTTCATGTAGCGGATGGATGGCACTGCCGACAGAAGGGCCTCGGCCACCTGCTGGCACTCACTGCTGTCGAGAACACCTGGATGGAACAAACAAGCACACAGACACACTCACTAACTGTGTGTTGTTGTCAAGGGATGCACTGCGTACGGTGCGGGTCAATGTCATCGATGCTCATCGGTTCACTGTCCTTGGGGCCGGGGCGGCGGTCAGACGACGTGCGCGGCAGCGATGTGCGCTGGCCCCTGCCGCAAAGCGAAGAGGAGGTCTCGCTGGTCTGCCACACAGGCATGGTACAAGAAACACACACACACACATGCCAGGCACTCATGAGCCGGTCACGATCTGGTGCATGCGGTACGCACAGGGTCGGTGCAGGCATTCTCACCTTGGCAGCGGTGCGCATAATGGATCAGTGCAACAGCGAAGAGATGAATTGCTCTTGAGGGGGGTGCGTGCCGGACGCCTGAACGTTACGCACCACAAACTTTCCACAGATTCTTACAGCGGCAGCGGAGGCCGTCCCTCTTGCAATTAGAGCCCCAATATTGCTTCCATCAACCCACGCCATACAAGCTCGCACCGCAGAGGGAAGCTGTCTTCGCCTTCTTTCCCCGCCCTCCCCAGTTCATGCGGGTTCGCCTGAACCAGCTGTGTCTGTTTTTGGCGTCAGTGCGTCCCTCTGCTTTCGCCTCCCCCCCTCCCAGTAGCAGCTGCGCCACCCAGGGCGGCCTGTGCAGCACCAGCGCAACACTCACCAGGATGTCGGCGAGCAGTGCGGCGGCGCGCGAGTATTACAGGAAGGACGGCGTGAGGATTCAGCATGACCCTTATGCCAAGGGAATGGCCGAGCACTACGGCGCACAGGTCAGTGGGCGGACAGACAGATAGCATGAGCAATGAGCACACACCAAGGAGATGAAAAGGTTATGTGTGTGTATCTCTGTGTCTGTGTCGGTGTGTGTCGGTCAGGGCAACACTGATCCGGAGGGATTTGACCCGTATGCCGACACTGTCGGCCCGGGCATCTATGGCGGCAAAGTCAAGAAGGACGAGAAAGGCGAGGTCGTCTACGGCCGACAGTATCAGAACCACAACCCAAACCCCGGACCCGTGTACGCAGGTCAGTCACTCACACCACACTAAGGTGCTGTCCACTGTGTGTGATTGTGTGCGTGTGTGTGTGTGTGTATGTTGTGCAGGTGGGGGTTATGCGCCGATCATCGAGGCGCTGAGCAAGGGCAAGGAGGCGGTCGAGGAGATTTTGGCCATCTCGCCGTCGGCTCTCGAGGAGGAGACGACGGGCGGCGCGCGGCCGCTGCACATGTGCGGCATGAGCCAGCGGAACCAGCTCATGACAGAGTTCCTCCTCGACAAGGGCGCTGACCCCAATGTCGTCGACACATACGGGTGGGCATGTCTGTCTGTCCACACCATCCTCCCATCGATTCATGTGTCGTTGCGTGTATGTCTGCCATTCAGTTACACGCCATTGCACCGCATGGCGTCCAACAACCTGGCGATCGGCGCACGTGCGTTGCTGGAGCGAGGCGTGTCGCCCACCCAGCCCACCAAGCACGGCCACGAGACGCCCATGAGCATTGCGCGGGGATCGGCTGCCCGGGACGTGATCGCAGTGCTGCAGGAGTACATCAACAAGAAGGGATGAACCCATCCACAGATTAGCCATGTGTGTGTGGATAGACGGCGGGGGAATCGATGGATTGGGTTCATTGGTGTGCGTGGTTGATGTGGCGTGTTGTGAGTGAGTCATGTGAGTGAGTGTCGATAGACGTGTACCGACGTTGGTGTGTGCATGGCTGCACTGTGCTCCAGGCGGTCGGTCAGTGTGCAGACGTCTGGGGTGCATTGAGCGTCTCGAAGAGATGGCTCTCTCCGCAGATGGATCTATGTCCGTGCTAGCTATGACCTGCAACTCATGGAATACCTCGATCAAAAACCGCCTCGCGTTGGGCACTCCGATGAAAGACTGTCAAGAGCGGGGGCGCGGGGGATCTAGCTAAGACATGGCAAGCGACTTTGCAATGACACGCGGACAGCAAAATGCATCGATCGGAAGGCAGTCGACATGGGCTGAATAAACTCGATCATGCCGAGCCCATTTTTCGGCGGATTTCATCGTAGGCATGTGTTGACGGCTTGGCATGATGGCTGATGGGACGATGGCCGCCCAGGAGCATCCCGTCAGCTACTTGTTCGTTGGCAGCCGAGGCCATCTGCCCGACATCGTCACAGTTGCCCGCCTGAGGGCCACATCGCGGCGCATCCGGGCTGCCTTCACCGTAGCTGAGCTGCGCAACCGCCTCGCCGACTCACTGAGCCGTGACGGCGATGGCATCAACACTCAGCGGCTGCAGCTGGTGCGCTTCGACCCATCGCTGGGGATGGGTGAGCTCATGGCGGCGGTGTGCATAGCCGAGAAGGGCGGGCGGTGGGATGAGACGGGGGAGGTGCTGCAGTGGGCCAGCCAGTGCCGCTACTGCACGCTGCCCCTCAACCTCACGGCCGATGACATCAACACACACGCCAACAAGACGGTAAGGCACACACACACGGGGATGGGAGAGAACACAGAGGCCTCATCCTCTGTCTGTCTGTCTGTCTGTCTGTGTGTGGTGTGGTGTAGGCGTATAGATCGTTTCCCCGTGTGTTGGCGCAGCTCATGGTGGTCGGCCGCCACATCGACTTCGGTGACGGCAGCTGCCTGCGGATCTTCCGCCGTGCCAATGGTGAGGTGCGGGCCATCAAGG